TCAGCAAACCGCGTCTCATGAGCCACATGTGGCTCTTTGGCCCCTTCAGCGTGGCTCTTCCACAAAATAACGACTTCTGTGCACGGGCCACAAAGTTTCAATCACACTGTACATGCATGCCCGCACGTGGTATTTTGTGGAAGAGCCACACTCAAGGGGCCACAGTTTGCTGACCACTGTCCTAGGGGACCAAAGCAGGGGGCAAAAGGTAAAACACTAAGTCAGTGGTTCCCAACCTTCCTAATGCCGCGACCTTTAAATACAGCTCCTCATGTTGTGACCCAACCATAAAATTATTTTCGTTGCTACTTCATAACTGTCATGTTGCTACTGTTATGAATCGTCATGTAAATATCTAACTGTCATGTTGCTACTGTGATGAATCGTCATGTAAATATCTGATATGCAGGATGTTCTTAGGCGACCCCTGTGAAAGGGTCGTTCGACCGCCAAAGGGGTCGCGGCCCACAGGTTGAGAACCGCTGGCCTAGATTCTAAAGTACAGCTAGAAAATCTCCTTTAAGTTCACGGAGAGTCCGTGACCAAAGGCCCTGCCCCCATCCTTCCCACTCCAAGCCATTCTCCCCACAGTGGCCGTTCTCTTGCTTAAAACGCTGGTGTCCTCGTTGGATCTGGAATGAAACCCTACTCCACTAAACAAAATCCATGACCAAAAGGGTCCAACCGGATCCGGCCCGCCGTGCCCTCTGCCCCCCGGCCTCTGCCCAGGCCTCTGGCACTCGGGCCGCCTTTCTCTTCCTGCAGCCGGAAAGCTCCCTCCTGCTCACCCGGGAGCTCTGAACCTCCGGCCTCTCCCTAGAACGCGTCCTCCGGCTTTTCTCACCATCCGGGTCTGATCTCGGCTATCACCTGCGCAGAGGTGAGAGCACTGCAGCACCCCACCCGCAGCCAGGGTCTGAGGAGGAAGGCAGCCCCCATCGCTGGCCGAGCAGCGCCAGGCCAGGCATTCTGAAAGTCAAAATCGCAACCCACAAGAAGGCCCGCCGTGAATACCCCTGGGCAGGCACGGGCCACTGTGTGGAGCCTGAACGCTGCTCTGGACACACACTGGGACACTCCCAGGGCCCCCTTCAACGGGTCTCCTTGATGTTGGCTGCCTCAGCCTCCGGGTCCGCCTTCTCCGCCCCCTGAGGTCACGTGGCCTGCTCTCTCCTCCTGACCTTGAAAGGGGATGCGGTGTGACTCAAGCGGAAAGCCAGCCTGTGCCGGGCGGGCGTGTGGAGGAACAGGGTGTGTGTGTGCTGGTTTCCTGCTCGGCCCCCGGCCCTCTCCACCTTTCTCCTCGTGGACAAGGCTGGTGAGTGAGAAAGCCTGGGTGGCACACTCATCTGCCTGCTTCCTGGCGTGTTCCCTGGCAGGAATGTCAGCTCCGTGAGGGTAGGGACGGCTTCTGTCCATTTGCACCCAGAAGTCGAGAAGAGCGCCTGGTAAATGGCTGACCCCTTGACCCCGCCTGACCAGGTGGGATGAATGAGTGGCTGCAGCACCACCACTCACACCTGCCAGGACTTGCCTGGTGTCCCGGCCCAGACCGCTGACACCACCACGGCCCTGCTTTGGCGGCAGTGGCTCGGCTCCCTGGGATGGGGCAAGAAGGAGGTCGTCTGATTCACAGAACTGGTTTCCTCTGCCTTTGCACCAGCACCGTGAGGCCCACGGGGAAGGGCTGGTGTTGTCATTTGGGGGGAGACTGTGGCTAGAAACAAGCTCCATCTGTCCATCCAAACATCTATCCACTCAGTTATCCACTCACTCACTCATTTTCCCATAAAACCACACATTCACCCACTCACCCAAACAGCTTTCCACCCATTCATCTCACCACACAAGCATTTGGTCATCCATTCAGTCTTCCATCCAATCATCCACCTACCCATCACTCTATATAGAAAACCATCCATCTAGTCATCCTAACATAGCTAATCATCCATTTACCCATCCATCCTCTTGTCACCCAGGTAGCCATTCACCTTCTAATTCTCCACTATCCAGTCACCTAACCAACCATCCATCCACCCACCCAACGGTTTAACCACAAATTCATCCATCTGCCCAAATGTCCATCTGACTACGATTCCAGTCGTACTTTCATCCTTCCTTCCATCTCATCTAGAGTGGGATTCTAATAGGTACCAGCATCCACTCTGTGCTTGATCTTGGGTGCAGAGTGGAAACCAACAGAGCCTGCCCCAAGGGAGCACAGGGTCTAGTGGGAGGAGCCTATCTTGCCCTTGGGGATGGCTTTCTAGCCATCAGACTCTAGCTCAGAGACTCCAATCACCACGTCCTCTCCCATCTCCACCGACGTGGATATACCAGCAACGGGTAAACCTGGATTTGACCAACACGGAGAGAGGGGGGAGCCTTTACTTGTATTTAGCATCTAACGAGGTGGGTCCGGGCCCTGCTTGGGACTCTGAGCAGCAAATGTACTCAAGATGTCCTCAGAGCTTCTCTAAACGCCCCTCCCGTCCCATCCACGGGGTCCTTGGCTCACTCACTGAAAATCAAACCTGACCATTGGACTGGAAGTTGTATTTTTCAGCCCAACCCTCATTCCTCCACTGACTTCTCCTCTGGGGGACCAGCTCTCCCCAGCTTTCTGTTCACGGCTCCATGGAGCTCCATGGAGCCCACAACTCTCTCTGCCCGTGTGGTTTTGCTGGAAGGTTCTCAGAGCCTCTCTGCAACTCGGGGAAGAGCCTGCCGGGGAAGTGAGGTCACACAGGGGAAATAACTTGGTCGCCTGGATCCAGCTACGCCTGGAGGAGCAATCGCCTCAAGTTTCCGAAGACTTTTCTTTTTTGGCTTAAGCAAGTGTGAGTTGGATTTTACTCCTTTGTAAGTGAACAGGTTCTGGAAAGACCAACCGATTCAGAAGCCTCAGGAGTGGTCGCGAAGTAACGACACCCTACCCAGTTCAAAATGTAAACGTGGTTTTATTTAATGCCTTTTCTCCATCACAAAGTACCGCCTCCTCCCCAGGGTCCCCTCTCCCTAGAAAACAAGATGGCAGCATAAGGCACGTGCACTGTCCACACGACGTCAGGTTAGGTCCTTAAACAAAAATAAGCAACAGTCTCCCCACAGCCCCGAATCGCCTCCCTCACCGACTGCTCACAGATGATTGTCCCCCCGGAGCACCCTTGGAGCGGAGTGCTTCCCTCAGAACCCGGGCGCTCCACACGCCCCTTTAAAACACAAAACCAGACGACGACTAAGGAAACCAACGACACAGGAATGAGAACATAATAGCGGGGAATGAGATTCGTCCATAAATTAAGAAGAAGAAGAAAACCCGAGCCTGTCCCCGCCTCGTCCCCAGGTCTCCCCCAGATCAGCAACGCCTCGCTTCTGCTCTGCGAGCCTCTAGGAAAGTCTGGACTCCCAGCCAGCCCTTCTCCCCAAAGTTCAACGTCCCAAAGCCACCGCTGGGTGCTCTGCGGCTCCGGACCCGCGTCTGGACGAGAAGAGCAGCTTCAGAGACGGTCCCGGCTGCTCCTCTCGGCTGCAGGGGCCCGGCCCGGTGTCCAGCGTCTGGCGGGAGGCGAGGGGCCTGGTGGGGGGCGCCTGGGCGGGCAGGGGTGCTGCGTGGGTTCTGCTATAAATACTCCAGCTCCAGGGCGTGCCTCAGCGCCTCCAGGTCGGCGTGGCAGGATATCCGCCAGAAAGGCATGTTGTGCTGGAACACAGAACACAGGACACCAGCCCCCCGTGAGGCCCTGCTCCACGCCCAGCGTTAGAGCCCAGTGCGAGGGCAACTCGAGGCAGCAGGGCCCGTGGGCATTTTCCAGACTGGGAGGCACGGAAGGTTGTCAGCAAACCGGTACCCACCGGTCAGGCCACCCCGGTTTGGTCCCCGCTGGGCCTGTTCTGATCAGTTGGTCCTGCGCTGCCTGATCCTCTCCCCTCCGCTGGGACCGCGTGGCCTTCACCACACGGCGAGAAAGCTACGGATTGAAAATGTTCTCAGTCCTGCTCCTCCGAGAACATCTCCGCGGGTGCCAGCCCCTCCCTAACACCTGCTCATCTCCCTGCGAACAGCGTGTGCAGGGCCTCGGGGAGCAAGAGGGGAGGTTCGTTGGTTTTCTTTGTCACTTTTTTGTTTTTCTTTCCCTTTTCTTTACAGCCAGTGATGCTGTGTTACTGCCATGGGGTCAAGTTTTCTTTCTTTTAATTTTTATGTATTGACTTTTTTAAAAAAAATGTGTTTTTAGTGATTTCAGGGAGAGGAAGAGAGAGGGAGAGAGAATCCATCCATTGGCTGCCTCAGGCATGCCCCGAATTGGGGATTGAGCCCAAAACCTGGGCTGTGCCCTGATTGGGGATCGAACCAGGGTCCTCTTGGTTCATGGGTCGATGCTCAGCTACTGAGCTACACCAGCCGGGCTTATTTATTAATTTTAGACAGAGAGAGAGCTGGAGAGGGAGTCATTTGTTGTTCCACTTATCTGTGCCTTCACTGGTTGAGGCTCGTATGTGCCCTGACCAGGGATCGAACCTGCAACCTTGGCATATTGGGACGACTGAGCTACCTGGCCAGGGCAGGATCAATTTTTCAATTTTAATTTATTTTTAATTAAGTAATTAAATTTTGTTGTTGTTGTTGTTAATCTTCACCTGAGGATATCTTCCCACTGATTTTTAGAGAGAGGAGAAGGGAGGGGACAGAGAGAGAGAGAGAGAGAGAGAGGAACATCGATGTGAGAGACACGATTGATTGCCTCCCACATGCACTCGATCCCCAACCCAAGACCCTTCAGTCCTCGGGCCAATGCTCTACCCACTGAACCAAACCAGCTAGGGCAGTTTTCCAATCTTAAATAGAAGTGAGTTGATTGGAAGGAAACATTAAGTAGATAATAGTACAGGTCATTGATTTTCACCCGCTGTGCTGCAAGAATTTGTAAAGCATGCAATACCTGACTATTTAGTCAGGGGCACTGACCTCTTTCCCCTTAGATTGCCAAAGAAAAAAATGACAACAGCCACACAACAATAGCTGTCCAGTGTGAACGAATCAAAATTACACCTTTTTTTGGTCAAATCAACAACAAATTTTTTTTGGCGTGCCGCAGAATTTAGTTTACGCGTGCCACGAGATGAAGAAGGTTGAGAATCGCTGGTATAGGTCGTATGCAGCTAGAACGGAAGTGGTGGCTGGTCTGGGAAGGGGCGTGTTAATGTTGAAATCACTCCTGTGGGAAAGAAGTTCGTGAACTCCTTCCACAACAGGAGGGTTAGGAGCAGTGTCCTGTCCATAGCTCAGCTCTACCGCCACCTGCTGGGTGACCTGAAGCAAGTCACTCTGCTGTTTGTAAGACGTTAGCTACGTGCTGTGTCCCATCGCCAGGGCTAGTCACAGTGCACACATACTAAGTGCTCCGTGAATATCAGCTGCTGTCATGATTATGTGTATGTACGTCATGTCTATTTCTACAAGGATATGTTGTATAAGCAGGACCAAGTCAGGAGGCAGGCAGGACAAGCAGGATATGTATGTGAAGGGATGAATTTGGGGGGTCTTCAGAGTTTAAACAATAAGATATGCAATGTTTTGACACACAATATTGTAAATAATAGTCTTTTGAACCTACTGTTACTGAGCCAGACACTGTGCTAGGTGCTCTATTATCTTGCTGAGTCACCCAAAGAAACAAAAACACTCAAAACAAAAACATCTTTTTCAAGTGAGGGAGGAGAAAGAGACGAGATTTTATTTAACTAGAGTTAAATTAGTGCAAGCTAGTGATAACTATGATTGTAATCATAGTCGTAATGCAATGCACTACTCGTTTAATGCCATCAGGAACCCTCCGAGAGGGGCACGTGTCTATCTTATTTTACAGACGAGGAAACTGAGGCACAGAGAGGACATGTCTGGCTCCAGAGAAGAAAGCTGGCTGTATGTTGTCGCTGGAAAATGTACCCATTGGCTAAAGTGGTTGCCTGCCCCATAGCCATCCTTCCTTATCCCTTGCTTCCAGACCCTGAATCTGGCAGCGTCGTGCCCAGATGCAGGCGAGGAGCTGTGATCACTTACGCGAGCAATGCGACCCTATTCCTGTTTGCCAGGGATTTGGCCGGTATCTCCCTGACGTGTGACCTGTTGAAGCCAACAGGGAGGTCGGCTGGGGACGTCTGGGAAAGGTTTGCTTCCATGATTAGAGAGAAGCACCTGAGGCGAATTCCTTGCTCCTTACTTTCCCTTCCTCTTTGGATGCTGTCATGTTAGCATGTGATGCCTGGAGCCGTGGCAGCTGTTTTGAGGCCACGAAGCCACAAACCAGAGAAGACAAGGCCAAGGGTAGAGCAGAATGATGGGAAGGGAGGCTCGTGCCCCCGGAACGTCCTCGGGCACAGCTACTCCCGATCTTATTGGGTAAGCTAGTGCTTCCCGTCATCACTGCCTGGGCTTCCTGCCGCCTGCAGCTAACAGCTACGAGCCTCCTCCAGACAGCCACTGGCCTTACAGGATTGACTAAGCAGCAAGTGGCTGCCCGCGGTTCTTGTAAGAATCCTGCTGCCCTGAGGTTCGGGCCCACGGGGTAGAAACTGCAGCTGTCCTTCCCGGCTACGGTGGGCAGGGTAATCGTCACCCAGAGAGATTGTGTCCTGGTCCCCAGAACCCGTGCATGTGCGACCTTACATGGCAAAAGGGGTTCTGTGCACCCGATTAAGTAAAGGGTGTTGGGGGGAGGAGGTTACCCGGAGGGCAGCGGCTTTGTCTACCACTGTGTCCCCAAGGGGCCTCGGGGCAGGCGGCAACCACCAACCACCTGTGGGGGTCTCAGTGGAGTCACAGGTGGTACTTCCACAGACGAGAAATAAACATGATAATTTTATCTCGTGGTAAGTGCTCTGAAGGAAACAGAATGGAGGGTAGAAAGCAGCTGAGGGGAGGGTATCTCCCTTTGCTGGCTGGGCCAGGGGAGGCCTCTGTGGAGGGGTGACCTTTAAGCAGGCCCCAGAGGATGAGAAGGCCGAAGATCGCAAGTGCAAAGCCCGAGGTGGGGTGGAGCCTGGATGCCAGGTTCGCTGCTGCACCCCTGGCTCCGGGCACATAATAGGTGCGCAAGAAATATTCGTGGGAGGAAGGGAAGGAGGGAGGCAGGGAGGAGGAGAAGGAAGGTGAGTTCGTCAAGCAAAGTCCTCAACAAACACATCTTCCTCTCTCACGCACTCTCGTTTACAGAGGGTGGGCTGCTAGCTGGGCAGAATTGAGCACGTTCTCTTGCTCCAGGGAAGCAGAATGCTATCCATCAGGGCAGATGCCATCTCTTAATGGCTTCCAGTCGCCCAGCTCCCCACGCTCTCCTCGCCCCACCCACCCTTCCCTCCTCTGCCAGGGTGGCTTCTGGTCGCCACCTGGCCACTCCTGTCCCCCTGTAAAGACGGTCATTCATTTTTCCGGGAGGATATGAGCAAAGGAGGGAGGGGATACTTTGGTCGCCTCCCTCCCGGGCCTGATGGGTCCGGAGCGCAGGTGGATTTATCACGTGTGGAGAGGTGGAGACAAATGACCCACTAAAATGGAGATATTAACAACACTGTCAGCCGAAACAAAGCCCTCTGTCCTGTCGCCATATTTCACGCTGCCCAGGTGTCTGGCGGCCGGGGCTAATGACTCCCACCCACCGGGCCAGGAGAGCCGCTGGCACACAGCGCTCCTCACTAGTGGGCAGGGCTGCTGCTTCCGACACTGGGGAGGGTTTCAGGGGAGTCGGGGTGTGGGGGCGTGCGCCCCAGTCAGCTCAGGGGTGTAGTCCGACTGTGTTAGAAACTCCTAAGTCTGTCTCCTCCCTGCCAGGTGCTTGGAGCAAAACGCACATCAGTTTAGTAGTTGTGTGACCTTAAGTAAATTAATTAACCCCTCTGAGTCTCAAATCTGTCTCCTGCAAAATGAAGTGGAATAACCCCCTCGTTGCAGGGAGGTTTTAAGGAGGAAATAAAACGATAATGGCAGTAATAGAGAGTTGTAGTTAAGGCCATGAATGTAAATAATTTTCCCATTATTTCTCTAATAGAATCATTAGATACTGATGTTTTGGGCAGTCATAGGTCATACTATCACTAGTATTTCACTTCAGGATAAGAAAGGGGCCGTTTAAAAATATCTGTGCCCTATCCAATTGGGCACTTGGCAGTGACTGGTCCAAGGATGGCCCTGACTTTCTCCAGGTGAGAACGAGAGGGCGTGCTCAGGGCCACAAGCCGAAGCTGCTCTCCAACCCAAAGCTCAACATTCAGTGTCACGGCTTAGGGCAGAGCTTCCCACTCCATCTGCCCTGGGAGAGGGAGAGGGGCTCTCGACGCCCCCGGGCCCTGGCAGTGGGCCGCAGGCAGTCTCACCGCGCTGACCAGACCGTACCCTGGGCGTGGCACGCGCTTCTGGGACTCCAGTGACTCATGGACGATTCCCGTGACTCAGGCCACCACTTTGGCCATATCCTTGTGTATCAGCTGTTACTGTCATTAATTTAATACTTTCCTCTCTAAACCAGTGGTTCTCAACCTGGGCTGCACATTAGAATCACCTGGGAATCTTTTTAAAATCCTGATTTCTGGGCCTCATCCTCCAGAAATTCTGTTTCTTTGTTACTAATGA